TTTCCCCCCCCCCCCCCTTGTGTGTGTGGCTAGTTTAAAGGCAGATGGTTCTCAAACGTCTGTCTGGGAGATGCCGGATCTCCTGTTCTGGTGGCTATTTTTACTGAGGATTTTGGGGTTTTTTGGTTGTTGTTTTTAGTGATCAGCCTTAGAAATTTCACCCTGGAAACGGCAGCATCAGATGCCTCCAACTCTTGCCTTAGCTCCAGCAGAGGGGTGGATTTCAGTACGGCAGCACACAACATCACCAAAGAGACACACGAGTTCGCCCTCCAGACATCACTCAGTCAACTCGCCTTTCCCTAGCTCCCTCCCCCTTCTCGATTTCTTTTTCTTGGGGTGGCAGCACCACGCTAACCCCAAGCCAAAGCGATCATTTGCTGGCACCTTTCACCAACCGCCCCTAAACAAAACAAGATGATTAACACAGCCCCCAAATTCAATTAGACATTCAATATGCTAATGCAAGGTCTAAAACCCACCCCAGCAGAACAATAAAAATGGTATCAACCCACGTTTTCTTTGTGCGGGCAAGGAGAGGGAGAGACAAAAAATCATCTCTCCTTTTTCCTGAACTGCAGTGGGGGGAAAATAATTTCTACAGGCAAAAGGGGTTGGTTTCAACTGAAGCAAACCTATTATCTTTACATATGTTATGTTTAGAGAACAAGAATTGGGTTTCTTTCTTCTTTTTTCCCCTCCTTTCATGTCCAGGGAGCAACTGCAGTGACTCTGCTGCCAGCAGCAGCATGCGCTGTCAATTCCTGTCCATTTCACCTCAGGTCACTAAATGACTTGAAAAAGAAAAACAAAGGTGGAAGAAACAAGGTGGGGGAATAATAATTTCCAGTCCCTGTGATCACCCTTGTTTCATCTCTTCTGCCTCGACAACCCACCTTTGTGAGTGATTCTATATGCCAGGACCCTCACGCAAAGGCAGTTTATCCTAAGCTTGCTCTGAGAATCCAGTTCACCCCAGCCCACCTCGGCATTTTGCACCATTAGTTTTTGAACACACCCCAGATGTAACCCTTACACACTGTTGTCTTCAGAACAGTATCCTGCAATAAACAAAATGAACAGCAACTGAGGGAAACAATTGAGAGAAAATCACCAATTCTTCAAGCCACTAAAGCTATCTATTAGCTTTCCTTCACAAATTGTGTCTTTCAGAGAGCCATAGGCTAAATCAACATCCATTTTGAAAAATACAGTTACATATTCTAAGTTCTGAAGCATTATCTTCTGGATAACTTAACCAATTTATTTTATTAGCTTTCCTGTCCCTTACCTTACTGTGACACATAGTTAAGGCCAAATGGAATGCATTTATCTGTGCTGATTAAATATTAAAGAATGATAGCTTAAGAGAAATTGACATGTTTTAAAACAAAAGGATGATATTATTCATCCTGAGAATAAGATTTAATATATTGAATTCACCCTATGCTTAAAAGCACTGGATGCACGACACATAGAGTTAGCACTAAATCCTTGCAGATGGTGTCCAATGCACAGAGTTAGACAAGTTCTAATTATAAAAGGTAGACAAACACAGAGACCAGTTTAATTTAAAACAAAACATCTGTTACAGTTATAATTATATTTAAATTAGTATAAATCATGAGCAGTCCACCAGGTTTAGAGGGGCTCATTCTGTTCTTCAAGTCACTCGTGCAAATACAAAATTCCAGTCATACATTAGCTGAGCAGTTCACTGTTGTACTACGTCACCAGGTATTACAAATACACTACGTATTTTGCAAAACTTCTTGAATACTACTGAAAATTTTAGTGGAATTTCCAAAAGCACTCTGAAATGAAGAAAGTGCTCTAATTGAATTTAGCAATAAGACATCCATTGACATGGCAGGAGCAGAGTCAGTCTAATATAGACACTTCTTACATTTCATTGTTAATTTTTTCAGTGATACACTTAAATTTCTTGCCTAGCAGCATTACATTTGAATATGTAACAGATGAAAATTCAGTGATTGAATATGGTCTACCTCTCTTTTCTAACCAACGCAGTTAAAAATAAAACAAGTCTCATTAATAAATAAATTTGTAGCCTGTTGAAATGATGGCTAACAGAAGCTGTGTAGAATGTTACACTAAGTCCACGAAGAGGATGGAATAATGAGCAGAATCCAGAAGAAAAGTGTAACTGTGATTTGTTGCATGATGCTCATGCCTGCAGAACAGTAAATGTGTGATTACTAACTCACTCAGAGATGCTGGACATTTTGACTTGCCAACATAAAATCAGTATTTGGTTTTAGGTATAAACTAAATAAGGAATGGAAATATGGAGCTAAAACACATGTACTGTATTTAGTACATCTCAGTGCTACACTTTTTATGAAGTTCTCCATCTATGATCTGTTCCTTTTATAATGCAACTCTTCTGGGCCAATCAGATTCTATCCCATATTTGGAAGTTTCATTCCTTTTTGGTGTGATTTTCTTTAACTATGTGTCTAATGTTTAGGGTTATCATATGACTATGCAAAAGAGCACCTATTATTCCTGTGGATCTTTCTTATTATGCAGAAAGCTATAAAGGAGTGCCAGGTACTATTAACAATGTTCTATTTATAGCAAGGAAAATTATCAAATTGAAAATACGTAGCAAATATAGAGTTAGGAGCATGCCCATTATTGGCAATTTTGTACTGTTCCACTGAGCTACAGATGATTTAATCAGCCTGGCAGAATTCCCATGATATAAGTAAAGGAATTCCCAAGAAGCATAGATTCACCATTGCAGGTCCTGTGTCATCCTGCAGCTGAGGCAGGGGAAAAAGCAGGGGAAGCAGGGAAGTAGGGGAAAAAGGCTAAGTAGGATGTAATTTGGGCCTGTGGATCTATGGCTAATATGGCATAAGCACCAAAAAAAACCCTCAGCTCCAACATTTGCCTGTGACTGTGTCCTTCTCAGATTAGTCTTACAGTTAGAGGAATGCTGGAGTGTCTTTTCAAAACCCTAATGTAAACTTCTTAGTTCTAATCAAGAATTGGTAACATACCGTGCAATGAAAATGATGGCCAAATGATGTACAGAAAAGTATTTTAATCGTGTATGATATAGAGGAAATAATGTGATTTTTACTCTTTAATAATGTTTTATGCAATATTGCCTGATATAAAAGTGATGCTCAGTACTGAAAACAATGATATGACTGTCTCAGATATTGAAATCGAAGTGTACTTTATAGGATAGGAGCATTTTTGTAGAGTAAAAGATTCTTTCACAGACACAACTTCCAATCTGACATACACTGATGATCAAGCCACGTTTGATATGCTAACAACCGTGTTTTCCTTACTTTGCAGTATTTTTCTTGGTCTCATGACACGGTTTACCACTTACTATTGACATATTTTGTTAAAATTAATAATATACATGTCTTACTAATTGCATTGTTTTGTCTACTTTAACATATTGATGAATAAAAATCAGCTATGACACCGCTGTCAAAACCACTCACTTAGTAAAGGACTTCACCTCATAACGTACACTGTCTACCTTATTAGTTTATTTTGAAGAATTTTTTTCAAATGAAAGATTTTTTTTTTGCAGGGAGATGCTGTGAGGCAGAAAAAGGAAGTTAACAATGCTGTTAGCTATTTTTTCCATTCTGGCAACTAGTGATCCAAGTAGTTGCCCGGGTTTTGATCATCATGATGAAAAGTTAACATCTTGGGCATACATATATGATAGTAGCTTACTTTAGTAATTTCTTTAATGATTGATATCTGTGCTTAAAGTAGGATGAGAAACCTTTTTGACCGTTAAGTTCATTACTTAAATAGCAGCAAGAAGCTGTTATTTAAGTATTTAATAACAGCTTTGTAGAAAGCAAACTACACAGAAGTTAAGAAATTATAATATTATTTCTCCCGAGATAATTTTAATTCTCCCCACTCTTGGGTGTGTACATTATTATACATTTTTTTCTGTTCAACTAGGTGCTGTTTTTCCTTTAGGACAGACTTTTGTATTCCAACTCTATTCTCAGTAAAGAATGACATATAATGATGAGAAGCACAGGAAAAATGCAGACATAAGAATTTTTTAGCCTAGCAAAAGATGGGAAACAAGCTCATGGCCTTTATGAGTAGCAGGTTATGTACATCATTTTGCCTGTTCAGATGTGCTGGCTGGCACATTAGTGAAGATAAAGTCCTTCCAACACCTGCTTACTTCTTTACACCTGGACCTAAAATCCCAGGGAAGCCATAGGGAAGGCTCAACTGCAGGAGTTTCCTTTCAGTTGTGCGTGTCCATATGTCTGAGACGTGACTTAACTTTTAGTATGCAGAATTTCTACTGTGATCAATCTTATCCCTACCAGTAGTATACGGCAACATCTGGTTTATCTCCACAGTTTTTCCTAAAGTAAAAAAAAAGGAAAGAAAGAAAGAAAAAGAAAAAAAAAAAACCACAAAGAAAAGGTGGATTCAAACACACTTTGCTTAATAATGTCACACATAAAACTAGTGTAACAG